GGGGAGGATGGGACAAAAGAAGCATGCTTTTACTGGTAACACGTTTTAATCCAGAGTTCCCCCATAGGCCTCATACGGCGCACTGTAAAAGAAACAGTTTGAAAGGGGCATGCGTCTGGTCCACAGAGCAAACAGCACGTACTCTAGCACCACCTGAAGTCTGCGCACGTCCCAGGTGTGAGCAGGAAGGTGCAGCCTGAGGGAGCTGCAGGTACCTTCCACAATATCCCCTCACACTCTTCAGGAATAAAATAAAAGAACATATTTCTTCAGAACAGGTTGGGCCTGTGACGTGAAAATAATAAAAATAAATAAAATAAAAATGAATCATGAAACAGTTTCCACACAACTCAGATTTCCAAGTATCAACGTTAGATTAATTTTTCCTGAGCCCGCACAGACCTCGCCTGCATCACTGACAAACTTTGAATTTTAGGTCGTTCTTGTCTTTTATTTTGTAAAGATCTGCAGCTGCGCGTCCAGTGGTAAACAAGGAACAGGAAGTGGACCAGGTGTTGAGGCAGAGGAACGAGTTTCATGTCAATAAAAATACATATTAAATGTTTGTAAGCATGAATTAGTATTTGAACAATGTTCAGAGCAAGACAGCAAAGAAAAAGTGTTCAGGATTCACACTGTGATAAGAAATGGGTCGTTGTTCTTCCTCCTGCAGGGGCCGACAAGGCAACTTCCTGTCATAACCTGGACTCAAACCCACAACCTCAGTACTACAAGACCACAGCACCAACAGGCCCAGCAGAACCTGGAACTGGGTGGTAATTCATAAATAGATGTTTACTTGTGTTTGCCTTTAACAGAGTGATTGACATGATTTTGTGTACTTTAGTTGTTCGGTTGTGTTTTGTGATCGAGGGTGGTCTCAGCCCCGAGGTTCATCCTTCGGTCAACGTGTTGCAGGTTCAATATTCAGCCCCTGCTTTGTGCCGATTACTCCTAAAACAGCACACGTTGATGTATTAATGAGAATATAAAAAGTGCTTCATATAAAATATGCATATAAAAACATGGTATGTGTCTATTTGTCTGTTTCGTCTCAAAATGTCTCACGAACCAGTGAAAGGATTTGAATTGAACTCCTAGACATTAATCATTGGATGTATTTTTATAACTAATTAACTTTTATGGCCAATCCAATTAAAGACTCGCATGTTTTTTCCTGCAGAGCAGCTGAAATATTCCACCAGCAGCGCGGGATTCTTTTGAGCTGAAGATGTGGTTTCAGGGAGACAATCCAACAGATCCAGGACCTGTCATGGTTTGCAAACAATGCTGAATAGAAAACGCCCTTTATCCACATTATCCACCTGTACACATATGGCTGCGCCAGTTACTGTATTTTGGGTTTACATAAATGTTTAAGGCTCATCTCAGAGGCACCATGTCAAACAAAGCCAAGGCAGAGTCCATGTTTGCTGTGATCAAGCGGTGTGATGGCCGGGCTGACACGCTCTGATGCTGATCCTAAGACCTGCAGCAGGACATCCCCTGTCCAGGATGAGCGCTGCACCGTCTGACGGCGTGTGTTTGTTAAAGTGTGCGGGGTTAGGCTGAGTGCGTAAACAGAGGGTGTAGCCTGAGGGTGCTGAGAGATAAGGGTGGAGGCCTGGAGGCCTCACTGACGGCAGCTGTCATACACAGGTAGAAAAGATGTTTTCTTATCACGTGTTTGTGAGACGCTTCGTCTTTCTTGCTCAAAAATGACGTTGGAAAAACAAACAAAATTCATGGAACAATATTTTGGACAATTTTACGTCTTTCTTTTAGGATAAAGCCGTTCTCACTACATTTAACATCTCTGAGTTGATTTAGGGTTTCTAAACAAAAGTTTCTTATTTTCTATAGCCTGTAGGTTTTTCTAGTTTTGCTGTCATGAATTAGAGATTTGTGATAAATAAAACTGAATCTTGTTGAAAGGATGAGCACTTTGTTTGCTTGAGTTATTTCAGTCCTGTCGAAGGCATGAAAATATTTTACTGAGACAACAAATGGTTAAATCTGGCACAAGAAACATTTATTAGATCAACAAGTAAATTACAATTAAATAAGCCTGTTCAGTTAAAACAACAGCAACAAACATCATCAGTAAAGATATGAGATTGATCTTAAAACATTCTGTTGACCAAAGATTTATCTGTGCCTGTCAATAATCACTTCATTTTAAATAAATAACAATATGGTGTGAAACTGAGAGTGGTGTAAAAATAACAAGTAGGGCTTGCATAAACTTCTGACAAACCTTTGAGATTGTTTTAGGACAGCAAAACAATCCATTTACTCTGATCTCTGGTCAGACTAGCCATTAGCTCACGGCTCCGATCAGAACCAAACAGGGAAGTTCACAGAGTTCCCCTGAAATCTTCCAAATATCTGAGCGCTCACTGACGTTATCGCTTCACTTCAGTTTGTTCTGAAGCTCCAAGTCACAGCAGGAGTCGTCTCAGGGCTCTGTACGAAAACATTTCAGTCCCTCGATTGTCGTGGGGGTTACGTTCCACACACCCCCTGCAAAATTTTATGAGTACTCACCAGCTCTGCAGAGGTTCGGTTCCAGGTGGGCTCGGTTCTGATTTGGCTACCCTGCAGCATGACGAAGCCCGTCGCTGCGTCCAGGTTGGTGTGCACGTGCTGCTGCTCCACGCGAGAACACTCCACACAAGGCTGCCCAGGATAGTCCACCACCTTGACCCGGGTCCGGACCAGGATTGCACGACCAGAACCAGGCTGAACCCCGCCATAGTTTGTTCCCTCCAGCCCCAGGATCCAGGTCACACTGAGTCCAGAACAAGTGCAGCCCAGGTTCTCACCAGAGAAGATCCTACTACAACTTGAAGGATGAGTTCAGCTTCAGGATAATTTGTGACTTTCCTGGATTGTTGATCAAATCAATCAATCAAACATTTGATTGTTGTACATAATGACTGATTGTTTTGGATGGGTGTGTTTTGTTGAGATTCCAACAGGAGGTTGGCTTGAAACACAGCAGTGAAGGCTACCTATGGGACAGATGTGGTTGGGAGGCTCTAGACTGAGGAAGTCCTCTGGATGGGGGACGAAAAGTTTCTCACTTAAAAAAACTGGTCCAGATGAGACGATTTAACCTTTTTGTTATCATCCTGTGCCAGAGGTGAAAGGGAGAAAATGATTTTTCAAGTGTTTGTGTCTATGTTCCTCTACTGTTAGCAAAATATCTCATGAACCACTGAATGAATTTTAATAAAATCTCCAGAAAACCTCCTCTTGGAATCACCACTTTATCGTGGTGGATGAGTTTGTGTGCCTGAATAATCCTAGGAACTATGCTGGTGGTGGCAGTTAAACCAAACTGGCACTTGGGACAAAAAACTTCACCTCTCTGGTTTGAAGGAGCCTGAGCTTGTGCGTGAGGTTGAGAGGTACCAGTTAAATATAGTTGGGCTCAGCTCAATGTACAGAATGGGTCCTTTGATAGGGGCTAGACCTTATTCCATTCTGGAGTTGCCTGTGGTGAGAGGTGCTGAGCTACTGTGGTCTACTTATAGCCCCCTGGCTTGGTGCCTTTGTGTTGGAGATTTCCCTGTAGGTGAGAGGGTAGTGTCCCTGCTCCTTCCAGTGGGGGCACAGGTTCTGAAAGTCATTTGTGCCTATGCGTCAAACAGCAGTTTGGAGTATCCAGCCTTCTTGGAGTCCTTAGCATGGTTGCTGGAAGGTGCCCCAGCTCCTTTACTTTGCTGAAGAACTTCAGTGCCCAAGTGGTGTCAGTGTGACTTGGAGGGGCATGAAAAGGAGGAACGGCCTCTTTCTGTGCGAGTCATGGCTTGTGCATCACGAACACCTTGTTCGAATACAAGGGTATTCATAAGTGCACATGGCACCAGGACATCCTAGGTCACAGATCAATGATCGACTTTGTAGCTATGTCATCTGATCTGCAGCCATATGTTTCAAACACTCTGATGAAGAGAGCAGCTGAGGTGTCAACGTATCACACCTTGGTAGTGCATTGGATCAGATGGCAGGGAGAGATGCCGGACAGACCTGGTAAACCCAAACATGTAATGAGTGTTCGCTGGGATCGTCTGGAAGAAGAACTCGTCAGAAATATCTTCACCTCACACATCCGACATAATTTTAATCACATCCCAGCTGAGGTGGGGACATTGAGTCCGAGTGGATCATGTTCCACACCTCCATTGTTGAGGCAGATGCCTTGAGCCCGCAAGATTGTCGGTGCTTCTCACCATGGTCATCTTTGAACGTGGCCATAGACACCCTGGGTAGGGAGACCATCAAGCTGAGGAAGGAGGGCCTTTTTTCCTGGTAGGATGCTGGAAGCAGCTGAGGAGTATCGTGAGCCAAGCGAACTGCAGCACTTGCACTTTTAGAGTCTACTTAATTTAAGATGGATGCCACAACCAAGTGACCTTAGGAAGCCCCCTCACGCATGACTTTAAATCACCCAATTTGACAAATTTTAAGCAAAATTCTGGTGCAGTGGTAGCTGAGCATCATTCCTAATACTACATTTGAGCATTACATTGAGCGATAGTTTTGCTTTAAATTCTCTCATCAAAGTCATAAAGCAGAACACATTCCTTGTAGGAAAGTGTTCTGCTTTTTCAAATCTCTTTGCATTGAAGACAAATGGCTACGGCAACAACCATTTCTTGGTATTTATTTGAAGAAATTACATCGACTCATCACATTTTTTAATGTTTACATCAAGCAGACATTTGATTAATCCAGTGCAAGAACAATGTCCAACAGAAACAAAACACAAAAGATAGTTCAAAGACAATCATGTGCAGCACAAAGAACCCCTCATATATAATATCACTTCTGGGTTAAATATACTGTATAT